AGCTCCTGTGGTGTGGGGCCGGCTCCGACCTGGTGGAGCTGCTCGCCGCCGGCTGCGAGGCCGGGGCTACGCGGGGCTGCTGTGTGGCACTAACGACTGCTCTTTCTTCCAGTCGTCTCACAAGACGTTCAAGATCAAACGCTTCCTTGCCAAAAAGCAGAAGCAGAACCGGCCTATCCCGCAATGGATCCGTATGAAAACGGGCAATAAGATCAGGTAATAAAACCAGCTGTTGTCCTGTGAAGAACTGCAGCCTCCAGCTTCTAAATCAGGCTGCCTGTGTGGACTGAAGTTAAAAGCTGATGATGTAAAAGCGTTTGTGCAAGCAAAAGTGCCGTTTTGTGGCCGTGAGTACCATACCAGCGTGCTAGTTCAGAGAGACAACTCCACCGGATACTCTTGGCCCGTTGTGTTTTGAGGGCTTTTAGGCCATTTCCTGTTGTAGTAGTTCAGTTCATTCCAATGCTCTGCAAGTATCCACAGGTGTTAGTGATGGCTCGTGTAAAGTGAAAGCGTGAACTGTGCATGTGGATAACTTATTCCAGAGTCTATATCCTGGTAGCTTCTCCACTTCTGATGTTCCCCTTCCCCACACTTTTCCCCTCTCTTATACCTGTTCCTCTGGGTTTCCTGCATTTTCAAGGAACAGTACTATACTGAGTGTGGGTGTTCCAAGATACAGAAGATTGTGCTTAAGGGAGCAAAGGGCTCATTTGGTGTATGGAGATAAAATTGGTAGTATAAGATTCTTGGCACATGATTGCAGAATTGATTTGCAGCACTTTGTGTTTGCCTGTAGTGTTTGTTTTCAAGTATTTTGTTTAGGAAAGTGCAATGAGAGAGCACTGTAGAATACTAGGTAAATGTGACGCAGCAGAAGCGGAATCCCCTGGTTTAAAAGCTTCAACCAATATAGTTTGGTCACTCATGCTGTGTAGCTAGCTTTTTATCTCATACACTCACTTATTTAGAACATGATTCTTCTAGGTTGTTTTTTGTCCAAAGTAGTGAGGAGAGTGTCATACACTCACTTATTTAGAACATGATTCTTTCTTCTAGGTTGTTTTTTGTCTGAGGAGAGTTACAGTAGCACTCACTGGCTCAGGCAGTGTAATGGCACAGAATTGCCAAGTTCTGTTGCTGTTACTTCGCCTAACTTGTTTCTTCCTAGGAAAAATGGGTGTTGTGTGCCCCAGACTGTATTCTTCCAGATACTGACTTAGAAAGGGGTTCTGTTTTAGCTAAATTTCAGTACTTTGGAATACTTTATTGTGGGCAAAACCATGATTTTTTGTTTTGTGGCACTTCAGTACCTTGGTCCCCAGTTTTATCCAAACTGTGTGCTAAAGCAGGCTGCAATTACAGTGCTTCATTCTGTGGGAGTACTGCCATTTTGCTGCTGAGAGTAACTCTGTTAACGCTGTCTTTGGTTTCACCTATGTGATGGTGAAACCGTTTGTTCTTAACATGTACAAGTACATACTCATAAATGAATATACTTTCCTGGAAAAGGGCCTTTTCCATATGCTGCTCTGCTGTCTTATTTTGAACAAAAATTTTGTGCTAGACTGTGAGCTACATTCAAGAGGTAGTTTTCATTAGCATTGGACAATCAATACAAGATCACGGGTCTCGTCTCCAAAAGAGGAGGTAGGATATTCATACACCAGCGCTGATGCACCTCTGCAGGCGTCTTTATTTCTTTGAAGTTTAGATTGTGTTGCAGTAACGTGCTAGTTGGTTAGTGAATGAAGAATGAAGAAAATAAACAGAGATAGAAATTCTAAAAGGTAAGTACACGGCTGGTTATTGTTGGCAGTTTGCCACTATAGCGTGTAAGAAGAATTTCCGTCCTTTACTGTTGATCTAATTCAAGGTCGTTTCAGTTCTCCTAGATCCTCAAATGTGTGTTTGCACTTTGCTAATTTACACTGCTTTTGTCTTAGGTACAACTCCAAAAGGAGACACTGGAGAAGGACCAAACTGGGCTTGTAAGAGAGACTGTCTCCTGGGAACTCTAATAACACTTGTCTTCCTGCGTCAGATTGATATGCCCCATACGCTGTTCAGCAACCCCCAAGTGATTCCTTCTGTAATGTTGGACTGCAATCCCCAACGTTTGTTTTTTTTTATAAGCTAGTTTGGGTTATTGATGTTAACTGGGAAAATCTTGAACTAATTTGCATCTGAAACATGAAGACTCTGTCCTATTAGCGTTCTTTCTTTCAGGCATCATCATGAGTATTGACAGTGTACAGGCTTACTAATAAATGTGGACCTGAATGACTTTGTTGAGATTAATTTCATACATATACATGGTGGGATACTAACAGAGAATAAAAACTAACATTACTGTGAATATCATCTCACTTAGTGTAAGAAACCTTGACCACTCTCCAGATAGTGGGCTGTGTCTTCCTTCTCACTAACTGTAAACCTTTGGGAGCAAAGCATTAAGAAATTTTTTAAAGAAAAGGGGTAAAAATCAGAACGGATTTTAGAAGAGTTAATTTGAAGAAAATATTTTATTAGACAAACTGAAATAGTTCTTTAAAAAAAGTCTTTCAGAGGCATGTTTGAAAAAGGCAGAATGCACTTTATGATCCATAGGCCACCATGGCTACAGTAATTCTGGAGTGTCAGCCTCATACTAGTTAACCCCGGGGAAGACTCTGGATTACATTTCTGGTAGATCTATGAAATCTTACTAAGAAAAGTAGCATTGTCAGAATTTGCTAAAGATGTACCTGTATAGCCAATGGATGCATTTTATGGGGCTGGAAAGCAAAGCACACTAAGAATGGTCCTGGGGTAAAGTGGCATCCTGTTTGAGGTGTGCTCTGGTAGTTGAGGGGGGTCCAAACCAAGAAAACCTTATGCTAAAAGACATCAATCTTTAGTTACATGCATCCAACATAAAGCATAATGTAAAAGAAGGTGGTATGTTCCCTATGGCTGGCTTCTGTCACAGCTGCAGATTTCCTGACTCCACCATGACCTCCCACATGATCCTTTTGAATATCCAGGATAGACCATGTAGTGATGTGTAGCTAGACCTGTTGGTCAGTCAGATAACATTTTTGAGTTAATGGAAGAGTGTGTCCGAACTGCAACTGTTGAACAGTGCGAGTGACAGCACTATGGTACTGGGCAAATGCTGAAATGTGATGTGCCCAGAAATACTTCACAAATACTTGCTCAGGGAGTGAGACTGCAAACAATCAGCGGTACTCGAATATCAAGACTAGCCATCCTGCTCCTGGCAAGGCTGCTCCTGAAACCCACCCTTGTTAGCTGTACATGGCTCCTTGTGAGTCTCATGCCTGCGGTCAGCCAAGGATGGCAGCTCCTTACCCCGTGTGGGTCTGGCCCCTGCAGCACCAGGAGCAGGACATGGGGCAGGGCAGCCCTTGGAGCCTGGGGTTAAGATTCTGCCTGGGGAGTGGGTGTAGTGGAACAATCAGATGAAAGAAAGTTTCATTTAGGGAGGAAAGGAGGAGGAAAGGGAAGAGTACAGCAAGGGCAGTGGATAGATTTATCTCCTACAAAATGCAGTACTCTTACAGACTGTAGTACATAATGTCTACATGTTCCCTAGAATATGTAATAACCTTTGGAGTTTTGTCTGGAGCTGTGTGTTGGCTTGATAAAATGGGTCTTGATGCCAGTCACAGGTGCAGCTTAATTTAAAACATTCTCGGCAGAAGGGTAGTAACGCAAGATGTTGCTCAAAGGAAGAGTTAGCAGCGATTTAAAAAAGGGGGGGGGAAAGAAGGGATTAAACCATTCAGAGTAGTTGGCACTCCAGCTCCCCAATGCTGGCATTCGCTGGGGTCTGTGAAACATCACCTATTTACCCCAGGGAACTGGAGGAGGAGGCTGTGGCTCAGCCCTGAGTCCTGTGTGGTGGCTGCTCCTTTCCCTTCTGTGGTGCAGAGCTAGGGTAGCTAGGCAGCAGGAAATAACTGAAGGTGCGAGCCCGTTCTCAGATTTGGCCGCAGCAAAGGCCCCCCTGAGGCTGAGGGCTGTGAAGTGCTCCAGTGCTTTTTTCTGGGTTCATCCTGCCGTTGCACCCCAGTTCCTGAGGAAGCTTCAGGCTGCCACACCTCTGTTGCTGCTTTTCATGTTGAACGTAAATAGATTTATCTCCTTCGCCTTATAATTTATAGCAAATAGTGCTGGGCAGCAGCGTATGCCAAGCACACATAAATGCATAACAAATATACACCTCGCTCAGAGCTCATAACAGTCCCTCCCTCCTAAGGTGTGCTAGAAGTTTCTGTGAGCACAGGAGAGCAAGGCTAGGATTTTTACCAGCCTCAGGACACCTGAGAGGTATCTTCTAGCTTCTTTTCCTGTCTGGTAAGAGTCTAGTTTCTACTTTATCGGGGGAAGTGTAAAGTCACTGCAACAGGAAAGCCACAAACAGCATTGCCAGAGATGTTTCAGCAGGGGCCCATGTGCTGCAAACGCTTTTACCCCAATGTTTTTTAAATCTCTTACGTGCTCTTCCCTTTGAAGCAAGTGTTTAGGAAATAACAGCACTGCTGAGTGTCGAAGATCAGCCTTGGAGCCCTGCAAGCCATCCCCTGCCTCTCCCCATCACCACTGCTGGCAGACAAAGCTGCTCACAGAGTTCCTCTTTAATTCTGTCTATGAGGACCTGGCTGAGAAGGAAAAAAGTAATTTTATGGACTTGAGAATAGAAAGAGACAGTTTGCTCCATGGCATTTGTGGGAACATAATGCTATTTTTATTAGATGGAAGCAGCTTCTACCAAGGATCTGCTTTGGCAAATAACTCCTCATATTATTTTTCCCCATTTCAATCTGCTTTTCACATTGGACATTAAGGGATAGCACAAAGTAAATTTAGTACAAATTAAAATTGGATTAAAATCAGTCTTCTGCAAAACCTTAACCAATGCAAATACTTCTGGATTTTGAAGGATTTCTGTTACTCCTGTGGCAGCTCTCTTTGCCCTCTCCTTCCCTGTGAGAGTTGCAGCGGGGATAGGGATCTCTGCAGAACTGGGCTAACACACGATAACCAAGACATCAACAGAAGCTTTAAAGAAAAAATCTAAATAATTTGGATACTCTAGTCCATTAATTTTAGTGGATATGCTTTTGTTTCCTGAGTGAGAAGCAAAGTTAGATCTGATTGTATACTTGAGGAATATTTTTTAAACGTCTGTATTTCCAAACCGACTGCCCCTCTGTAGGTATGAAAATAAACCGTGTGAGACAGAGGGCTGGGTCACTGGAGGTGGCATGGTGTTTGGGGTAAACACAACATACAGCTGCAATTTGAAGAAGATGCTTTTTTTGCTCTGTGGAGAGGAACCTTTGCAGGGCTGGCAAGGCGGGGGGGGACGTTGATGAGTGTGTTGTAAAACCACCCCGAGAAGCAGGGCTCTGGTCTTGCTCCTTCTGAAGTGCCTTGCCTAATTTGCCTCAGAGCAGAATACAGCTTCAAACCCACGACTAAAAGATGGGGGGGGGGAAGCTGCCTTTAGGGGAGTTTGGTTAGCTGTCAAGGGGAGGCAAGTACTAAAAATCATTTAGTTGTATTAAGTGTAGCATTTGCAGTTAAATTTTGCTTTCAAATGGAACTCTGAAGTTCAGGTTTCGTGGTGGAGTGTGACTAAGCTGCAGGTACAAATGCCAAGGAAACGGCTCCTTCAAGGAAATTCTCACTAATTCCGCTGTTTACTCTGTGCCTTACTCAGAGGAGGGAGTAAGAGCGGTCCCACACCCTCTCCCCGACAGCACACTGCTGCAAAAGTGTGACAGAAGACTAAGGTCAAAAAATATTTTGTCAGACATGCACTCACCTGTCTTACCAACAGTATTTTGGTTACCAGAACTAAAGATTGCAGATGTTTTGACATCAGTTCATGGAGTTTTTGCTGGTGTGACGACTCATTAGAAGCCAGCCTGCTGTCCCTTGGCATGGATGTGGCCAGAGAAGCTCTGGAAGGAGCTATGTTGCCGTAGTCTTTAATCCATTAGAGTTAAAGCATTGCAAAACCAGTGTAGATCAGGCATAAAATTCATTCCCAGTGGGTTTTGTATGTCTCTGCTGCTGACATGTGTGTGATTAGTCTGTGATTAAAAAGATGACACATCTGTGTGTTCACTCAGTCACCTGAACTGAGTACTATCCAGTCACTGGATCACTATCTGCTCATCTGCAGGCTGTTCTTCCATGTATCATCCACTGCATGATGATACATGGTTATTCCAGTGTCTGAGCAGCATTTCAGAGCACAATCTGAATATAAACGGGGTTTTCTTAGGGTCTGTGAAACCCACAGGCTCAACTTCCCCCAAGGGAGTTACCCACATATCTCTTCTGCAGTAAGGTGCAAATTCACCCACACAGCCAGGCCAGAGATCATCTCGAATCCCTGGGTCACCTCTGCAGACCCCCAGAAAGGCAGCTGGAAAGAAAGCGCCGCCTGCCGCTCTGTGATGGGGAACAGAAACTCCCCAGTTGCTGTCTGAGAGTCACTTCTCAAATGGGATTGCTATTTAAAGGGGTAGGAATGGTTTCGTGCTGATGAGAAAGAGGAAGGGGCAGTTGTTTTTCTGAAGATATTTTGAAGCAGCCCTGGCCTTCGAGGATGTGAAAAGCAAATTAAAATCAGCTGGGCGGAGCTCTGTTTGGCAAACAAAACACAAACAGGCGAGCAGAAACTTTGCCCTTTTAATGCAGGTACCGGTACATACACGCGGGGTTATGCTGCTGTGGGGATGTTTCTCAAGAGTTTCATTTTTGAGCGTGACCTCAGTAGCAACAAAGATAATCTCACAGACTTCATACCTTTTCCATGGCTTTGAGCAATGAGTCATCTTTCCAGAGCTGCTCCTGGACTTCAGTCCCTGCGGGAGCCACTGCATGCCGCCCTTGCCGGGCATCCCTCCTCCGCTCTGGCCCCCATCCCCAGTGGGGCTGAGCATCTCAGGCTCGCCTGGACGGGGGTCCCCAGGGAAGGGCTGCCAGGGGGATTTGTCCTGCACTTTGAAAGCCTTCTCTGGGCCCGGCCTCCTCTGGCAAACCGGGCACTCCAGCTCTTACTTTACTGAGAAACAGCTTTATCTGACATGAACAAACAG